CGGCAGCGCCGCCGCCGGTGCCGCCACAAGTCGCGGCAACAAGGCGCGGACGCGGCCGCCGCGGGGCAGCGCGCCAAATATTCCGGTTCCCACGAGTAGGTACACGCCCTACATCTTCGAGTCGGATGCGCTCATCGGGCCGAAGCCGGATTTTGGAAAGGGCTTCTGAGCCAGCAGACAAGGTGTGGTTTGCGCTCCTGGTGCGCCGCAATGCCATCCGTTGGCGCGTTGGCGCTGTTTATAGGGGCCTAGAGAACCCCCCCCCCCTCTCCTTTTCTCCTCTCTCTCAGTGTACGTGCTTTTACGAGTGAGTGTACGTCTCTCCCTCTAGTGTACAGTACCTTTAGCTTACTGGGTCAGGACGACGAGACGCGACGCTCGGCCTTTGAGCGGAGGGTCTCGGGGGGCAAAAAGAGGCGCTTCCGTGCGTCATGCGTGTGAAATTCAAGCTTCACAGGGACGTCTTCTCTATGAGTTGTGCTCCGCGTGGACGAAACCACTTTGTATTTTGCTTTTGGGGGAGTTTTCACGATCGAGCCGAGACGGAGGTTGCGCTATCTGGAGAACGCATTCGCTCTCTCGACCCCTAACTCTCTCACACAGTCTCACAGCATATGTGTAAATATTGAAAGTGTTGAATGTGGAACGGGGAGTAGACGCGCCCGGGGGGGGGGGGGAGGGGGGGGTAAACGATTTAGAGGCGTCGTATAGACTCTACGAAGATTCTAGGTCAACATCTAGAAACACCTTACCCATATCTTACCCACTCGCTTGCTTTTTTTCGCTCCAACCCTCCGGGTCTTCACACACTCTCCCCGGAGGGCTACGAGGCCTTCGTCCTTCACACTCCAAGGGGCTGTATCTTACCGGGGAGTACTGGGCTGGGTTTTTAGGCATTGTGGGGTTGGCACTCCCATCGACCCTCATGACCTCCTGCGGTCTCTGAGATGGACACCAGTAGGTGTGGGACCATAGCCAGGGTACACTCGAAGGCTGGGTAAGCAGTAGATGTCGATACTCGACGCGTCCCACATGGTCTGTGTCGCTGTCGGCACGCTGTCGACAGGACGTCGAGCGACACCGGTGGCAGTGCCACCCAGGAGTGGTCGGGCGGTCTCCCGTCATGAGAGAGCCACCATGTGATCCGTATGATGATTCCTGACAACCGCCTCAGTCAACTTTCGTCACAGTTCCCGCTCTGAGAGGAGCTGCGGGTCAGCTCGACAGCTGGAGCTGTGTCGCCGGCGTGCGGCGGCCTGCCTCCAATCGCTGTGAACCCAGCCACGTAATTGTCCACGCTGTGGGGCCACCGGAGCCGCCTAAGCGACTCCGCTAAGAATTTAAGGAACCACTCTCTCTCACAGCAGACAGGCTCGAATAAGATTTTATGACAAAACTCCCTCACACGACACTGGGCACGGGACTGGCGAGGAGGGAGCGTGCAGTGGTGCCAAGGCGTGCAGTGGTGCAGTGGCACGGCGCCAGCCGCCACACAACGGCGCCGCGCAGCGCTTATCCGCCTCGCGTCTCCACCACACTGTCTCGAGCGTTTTTTTTTCTCTTTTTCGTTGTACGTTGACGCTGATCGCTGATCCGGCTTCCGGGGTGATCGCACTGTGACGGTCACTGTGAGACAAGAGGAGGTTGCTGGTTGGCTGTTTTCAGTTTTGTTTCTTTCTCTTCGTTTAAACAAAATCTCCCTGTGTGTGGGGTGTGGCGGCGTGCCTCGCATCCCTCTTTGGTTTTTTTCAGCCGCGGCCCGCGGCGAGAGAGGTGCCCGCTCCCAGCACACACCCACAACCACAAAAAAACACACGACCCGCCTGCACCCCACGCACTGCCATTCTCGCGTGCAGGAGGCGGTCCTGACCGCGAACAGAATTTCAACATTATCTCATGGTCATGCGCCGGACGATCCCGCCGCAGCGCCGTGCAAAAAGTCGCCCTCAAACTCCTCGCGGTCGCGCTTGCGCGCCGCGCCGTCCGGGCCGTAAGAGCCAAGCCTGATGTTGGCCCGCTCTAGCCAGCCAAGAAGGCCAACCTTGTGTTCGAGAGCGAAGCGCTTGTAGGCAAGAGTCCGGTCCACGGCATTGTACCAGCGCATCTTTGCGGGCGAGAGGCGGAGGACCGTGGTGGCGCACGGGGGCGGATGGTGGTGGCAGTGTCTGGCACGGTGACGCGGGTGAGGGAGGAGCAGCGTGCGAAGGCGTTCATGCCGATGGAGGTAAGGCCGGCGGGGAAGGTGACGGTGGTGAGGGAGGAGCAGCCAGAGAAGGCGCCGTCGCCGATGGAGGTAAGGCCGGCGGGGAAGGTGACGGAGGAGAGGGCAGAGCAGCAGTAGAAGGCGCTGCTGCCGATCGAGGTGAGGCTGGCGGGCAGGGTGACGGAGGAGAGGGCAGAGCAGCAGTAGAAGGCGCTGCTGCCGATCGAGGTGAGGCTGGCGGGGAGGGTGACGGAGGAGAGGGCAGAGCAGTCGCTGAAGGCGATGCTGCCAATGGAGGTAAGGCCGGCGGGGAAGGTGACGGTGGTGATGGCGGAGCAGCGCTCGAAAGCGCCGCTGCCAATGGAGGTAAGGCCGGCGGGGAAGGTGACGGTGGTGAGGGAGGAGCAGCCAGAGAAGGCGCCTCTGCTGATGGAGGTAAGGCCGGCGGGGAAGGTGACGGTGGTGAGGGAGGAGCAGCCAGAGAAGGCGCCGTCGCCGATGGAGGTAAGGCCGGCGGGGAAGCTGACTGTGGCGAGCAAGGTGCAGCCCTCGAAGGCGCCCTCGCCGATGGAGGTAAGGCCGGCGGGGAAGGTGATGGAGGAGAGGGAAGAGCAGCGGTAGAAGGCGCGGCTGCCGATCGAGGTGAGGCTGGCGGGCAGGGAGATGGAGGAGAGGGCGGAGCAGCGGTAGAAGGCGCCTCTGCTGATGGAGGTGAGGCTGGCGGGGAGGGTGACGGAGGAGAGGGCAGAGCAGTCGCTGAAGGCGATGCTGCCAATGGAGGTAAGGCCGGCGGGGAAGGTGACGGTGGTGATGGCGGAGCAGCGCTCGAAAGCGCCGCTGCCAATGGAGGTAAGGCCGGCGGGGAAGGTGACGGTGGTGAGGGAGGAGCAGCCAGAGAAGGCGCCTCTGCTGATGGAGGTAAGGCCGGCGGGGAAGGTGACGGTGGTGAGGGAGGAGCAGCCAGAGAAGGCGCCGTCGCCGATGGAGGTAAGGCCGGCGGGGAAGCTGACTGTGGCGAGCAAGGTGCAGCCCTCGAAGGCGCCCTCGCCGATGGAGGTAAGGCCGGCGGGGAAGGTGATGGAGGAGAGGGAAGAGCAGCGGTAGAAGGCGCGGCTGCCGATCGAGGTGAGGCTGGCGGGCAGGGAGATGGAGGAGAGGGCGGAGCAGCGGTAGAAGGCGCCTCTGCTGATGGAGGTGAGGCTGGCGGGGAGGTCGATGGAGACGAGCGAGGAGCAGTCGAAGAAGGCGCTGCTGCCGATGGAGACGAGGCTGCTCGGGAAGGCGACCGAGACGAGAGAGGTGCGGTTGAGGAACGCCCAGTCCGGCAGGTGCGTCATGCCTTCGGGCAGCACCGCGTGCCCATCGGTGACGACGACCTGCCAGCTGCCCACGTCCAAAGTCTCGGAGCCGGGCGGCGGCGCGGCGTCGCTCGGCGGCGGCGCAGAAGGCGTCGAGGCGGGCACCATTTCGAAATCATCGTGAAAAAAGAATTCGTGGCATTTATGCAGACTGAGCACGGTACGTGGCGATGCGAGGCGGTGGCGTGGCGCGGCGGCGCGGCGGGCGGCGGGCGACGCAGGGCGGGGCGGCGTGACCACCTGCCCCGCACCGGGTCTCTGGCCATTGGAGCAGTGCAGTGGTCGTCGCGCCGCCCATGTCCGGACTAACACCCCGACCGGCAACGACGGAGAATCCGCTCCGTGCCGGCGGCCCCGTCGGTGGCGGCGCCGATCGGATCGCGTCGCGCCGGCGGGGGTGGTGACTGAGCGGGCAATGGCTCCGCTGGCCGGCGCGGGGTCGCGCCAGCGGGGAACAGGTAGGCCGCCGGGGCCGGTTTGGACTGTGTTTGGGGGGGGGGGAGGGGTCCGGTGGCCGGTGTGATGGTCGTTTATGGCCCTCCTATCACCCACTTACCACCCCCGGCCGTGGGGACCTCACCGGACGCCGCCATTCATGATTTCAAAGGGTCCTGCCGTCGCTCAGTTCTAATCACAGTGGGGCGGAGCCTACCCTGGTGTTGCTGTTGGCTGTTGCGCGTGCCTTCGGGCCACTTCTCAGAAGCACACAATGTATACTTTTGGCATATCTCCAGAAACGACTAGCAGTCATATTTCTCAAACGTTTGCTCTCCCTAGCCCAATGCCTTATACGGTCGCGCACGCCACCGACAAAAAGAATGGGACCGAACGCGCTCCGGCGCCGAACATACGTCAATGCGTCGCCCTCCAACGCTCTCACATGCAAACGAGACACTAGGGCGCCGCCCTCTGGCCCGCGGCCGTGCGCGCCGCCCCCATCTTCAGCTCCGCCACCTGGTCGAGCGCGTCGCCGAGCAGCCCCTTGGCCACGCCGAGGTCGCGCAGCTGCTCCACGCCGCCGCTCGCCCGCACCTCGGCGGCGTGGTCGGCCACGTAGCGGCGGCACTGCGCGAGGAGCCGCCCGTCGCCCGTCATGTGCGCCGCCTCGAGCAGCGGCACAGCGCTCGCCGGCCCGACGCTCTCCTGCAGCGCCTGTGCGCAGAGCAGCTCGAGGCGCGGCACCTGGTACATCTGCGCAAGCTCCCGCAGCACGAGCGCGCGCCGCGCCTGCTCGCCCTCCCCCTCGCCGAGGTCGAGCTGGTCGGTGCAGAGGTAGTCGATGAAGGCGGTGAAGCTGGCGAGGTCCGTCTTGGGCACCGTGATCTCGGCGGCGTCGCGCTCCTTCATGCCGATGCCAAACATCTTCCCATAGTACTCGGACCGCACGCAGAGCAGGTTCTTGCTCACGTGCTCGATGCGCTGCGCCTCCCTTCCGACGATGAAAGTGACCGGGCCGTGCGGCAAAGAGGCGTCGCCCCGCGTCTTCTTCATGTCGGCAAAGAAGGTCGAGGGCGGCACCACAATCGGCGCGAAGGAGGGAGGCGGAGGAGGCGCAGCCACGCAGACCTGGCGGAGAGACGCCGCTCCCGAGCGGACCAGAAGAGTGCTGCCATCGGGGCTGAGGGCGACGCCGAGTGGGGCGTTGAACTGCGCCGCATCGCCCACGCCATCAGCTCTGCCCTTAGCGCCGCTGCCCGCGACAGTCGTCACTGCGCCAGTCGCCACCTCCACCCGCCGGATCTTGTGGTTGCCGAAGTCCGCCACAAACAGCGCGCTGCCGTCGGGGCTGACGGCGATGCCGCGTGGCTTGTGGATCTGCGCCGCGTCCTCCACGCCATCAACGCTGCCAGCAATGCCACTGCCGGCGAGCGTGCTCACCGCGCCTGTCGCTACCTCGACCCGCCGGATCTTGTGGTTGGAATGGTCTGCCACAAACAGCGCGCTGCCTTCAGGGCTGATGGCGATGCCGACTGGGCTGTGGAACTCTGCCGCGCCGCCCACGCCATCAGCGCGGCCAGCAGTGCCCCTGCCTGCGACAGTCGTCACTGCGCCCGTCGCCACCTCCACCCGCCGGATCTTGTGGCTGCCCCAGTCCGCCACAAACAGCGCGCTGCCGTCCGGGCTGATGGTGACGCCGTATGGGCCGTTGAACTGAGCCGCGTCGCCCACGCCGTCCGCGTCGCCTCGTTCGCCGCTGCCCGCGAGCGTGCTCACCGCGCCCGTCGCGACCTCCACCCAGTATATCTTGTTGTTGCCGTAGTCCGCCACAAACAACGCGCTACCGTTGGGGCTGAGGTCGATACCGCGGCAATCCTCGCAGGTCGCGACGGTGCGGGTGCGCCCGGCCGCCGACACGTGCAGCACCAAGGCACCAGTCGTGACGTACCAGCCGCCTGCGCGATCGCTTGCGACGGCATACAGCTTTTGCGGAGGGCCGTCCTCGCCCTCGAGCGCCAGCGTGGTGACCTGGCCGACGACGCGCGCGCCAAAGATGGGCGCCTCGAAGCCACCCGCGACCGGCACAGCCTCGCCCTCCTCCTCGCCTTCGCCGGCGGTGCGGGCGCGCTTGCGGGAGGCCATGACGCCAACGCGAAAGCCGGCCTGGCAGGCGGGTTCGGTCCCAAGCATGTGCGGTATCAATTACGCCGACTCAGGGTGTGTGGCAGCCCGCTGGCTGTGTGTCTTGTGAGCTTGTTTGTGTCTGTGTGTCGCTCGTGCGTGTCGTCATCATCTGTCCAGCGTCCACCCATACCGCGTTGGTGTCCAGTCCGAGCCTGGCTGTTCTTCACCTTTCTACCTACCTACCTATCAATCAATCAATCGGTGATAAGTCTGCTACACCCCCTAGTACTAGTACAAATCTGCCAACGTAGACTGCAGACGCCCCTTTGCCGCCAGAATGTGAAAATGAGAACCAGAGAAGTCAAAACAACAACACCCACCTGGCAACCCTGTCTGGATGTTGGATGTTGCGGAGATCAGCAGGAGGATGTACGACGAGATTAGGAGCAGCAGGGACCCGAGGGACCATGTGGAAGACGGCTAGTGATAGTCCCCCATCGGGAGGACGACCCCGGCTAGTCGCCGACCACACCCACAAAGAACCCTGCACAAAGACCGCAGGGCGGGGGCCTGTTCCTTTTTACCCATCTCCTAGTAGAGGTGTCCGTTTTATTTATTTATTTAACCCTGTCTGCACGTCTCGCACTGAGGGAGGGTGTAGAGGATGTAGAGTGTAGAGCGCTGTAGAGATGTAGAGATGTAGAGCGCTCTGGAGCGCTGTAGAGCAATGTAGAGCTGTAGAGCTCTACATCCGCCGCGGGACGAACTGCGTGCGTTGTAGAGCGATGTAGAGGCGCTCTACAACGTGAAATCTCTACAACAAACTCTACTCCATAACCGGCGATGGAGGCACGGTCGCTCTCCGACATGAGGCGCGTTGCACTTGCCAGTGCTGCCCTGGCCTTCTGTCTGCCCGCCCAATGGGTGGCAGATGCCTCTGCTGCTGTGGCATGCCTCGCGGCTGCGACTGGCCGGCGCCTCGGCGCGTCAGCTCGGCTCGGCGTAGCGATAGTGGCCAGCGCAACTCGCCTGGACTCAACGCTCAGCCAGGAGCTCCCGCACGCGCTGGCGCGAGTCATGGCGCATGCAACGCGCAGTAATGCTCGCCTCGCCTCGCGCAAATGCGACCGTCCTCGCAGCCGACAGTCCACCGCCTGCTAAAGAAGCACAGCGACGAATGCGGCACCGGCGACGGGCTGGTCATGACGCAGTTATAGGGTGTTGTGTGTCGTCAGAGTGACTCTCTGTGTGTCAGGGATAGTCAGGGCCGTCCATCAGAGCTCCAGTAAGCTCGGAGACACCCCATTAGCGCGGCTCGACCTCTTTGAGTCACTGCCTTCCCGGCGGTTTGGCTGTAGAGCCTCTACAACAAACTCTACAGCAAAATCGCGCTCTACATCGCTCTACAACGCACGCAGTTCGTCACGCAGCCGATGAAGAGCTCTACAGCTCTACAGCGCTCCAGAGCGCTCTACATCTCTACAGCTCTACAGCGCTCTACACTCTACATCCTCTACACCCTCCCTCAGGTCTCGCACGCGCGTGAACAGGGCTCCAGGCCCCAAATGACCTGTGAGTGTTAGAGTTGTTTGGTATTGCTAAAAATCTCTACATGAGAAGTCCGAGTGCGCCTTCTTGTTCGAGTGCGAGCTCCGAGCTGCGACATGCGTATGACCCCCCCCAATGAACACACCAGTGAGGGTGGGCGAGACGATCGAGGGGTCCCATACCATGCGGAATCGAAAAAGAAAGAAATAAAACAGACAACTCAAGGTTCGCGATGATGTTAGCACTTGGAGCACTTGGAGTGCAATCAGCGTTAAATTCTTTTCCTGTGTCGAGCCTGTGTGCTAAATAAATAAATAAATACAACGGACATCCCAAGCTAGGGCTGGGTCGAGGACAGACACGTCCCCACCTTTGCAGGATTTTCCAATTGCCATAAATTCTTTTCTTACCGTTTCAGGCTTGGCAAAGGCGCTCGCCTCTTCGCCGAACGGCATCGCGCCCTTCGCTGTGACCTGAACCCAGCAATGTCGTACGCCTCCACCACGCCCGCGGAGGCGGCTCCAGCCGCCACAGACTCGGTCGGGCGGTCAACCTCTGCCCGCTACAACGAGACGCTGAGCAGCCGCACGATGTGCGCCTACGGCTTCTTCCGGCTGCCCATCTCCGGCTACGACCTGACCGTGCGTCCGGCACGGACGGCGGTCTATATCGAGGCGCTCAACCAGTCGATCCTCACCCACGCGATGATCGTCTCGTGCTGCAAGTCCGTCGACTTTCTGCTCGGCTTTCTCGTCGGGACCACCTCGGACAACGTCTCCACCCGCTGGGGGAGGCGCAAGCCGTGGGTGGTGATCTGCTTCCCGTTCGCGATCGTCTCCATGTTCCTACTCGTCACGCCCTTCCCCTTCTCCGGCGACGCGGTCTTCTCCGATTCCGACGACTTCCCGTGCGGAGAGGCGGAGCAGGGCTCCGCCATCGCCCGCCCCTGAGGCAGCGCCTTCTTCACACGGATCGCGTGTGAACAGATTGAGCCGGACTCCGCCACCGCCTGCCCCGCGCTGGAGCAGTGCCTCGTCGAGATGATTGCAAACGGCACGCTGCCCGCGCACAACGTGAGCCGCCTCGAGGGCCGGAGGAGCGGATCCTTGTTTTCTGCTGACCATGAGTGTGGCGAGGGTAGGTGAGCAGCGTCGAGTCCTCCAACCCGCCGGCGCCGGCCGCGCTGTCGGTCTGGTTCGCCCTCTTCTACTTTGCCTACTACTTCTTCTCGTGGACCTGCACCATGATTCCGTGCGCGACTCGGCCGGAGGAGTCAAATCATAGGTTCGACGAAGAGGTGCAGACAGAGGCATGATGAACAGGTACGACGCCCTCGGTATGGAGCTCACCTCGGACTACTCGAAGCGCGTCTCCCTCTTCTCCGTGCGAGTCGTCTTTCAGTTCCTCGGCTATGCGGTGCCCAACGCCGTCGGCCTCGTCCTCTCCAACATCTTCCCCACCAACATCATCGCCGTCTACGCGTACACCGCTCTCGTCCTCGGCGCAACCACGCTCGCCGGCCTGCTCCTCCTCGCCGGTGAGACACTCATTCTTGGTGCGACGAGGGGTAGGCATCGTCTCGCTCGCCGCTCTGCTCGTCCTCGGCTTCGGGGTGAGCGAGCGACCAGAGGCGAAGACGGGACAAGGGAACGAGGTGCCTCCGTCGGTGGCTGTGCGGGGCCACCGACCATTCCATCTCCATCATTCTTCTCACTGGCTTAGGTGCCCGCCGTGGTGGCTGTGCGGCGCGCGCTGTGCAACCGGCCGTACTGCATCTACCTCTTCATCAAGTCCGCGAGCTCTCCCCTCCCCTCCCTGCTGCCCCTGTCAGCATGGCGCCTTCACAGCTGCCGGTGATTGGCAGGTTCCCCATCTCCCTCGTCTCGCTGCTGCCCGTCAACCTGATGAGCTTCTTCCTTCGCTACGGCACGTGACGGCGGAGGGACGAGCCTCTTCACACCTCCCGCTGTGAAGACACGCGGCTGCATGTGAGCAGGCATGAAGATGGAGGACTGGGCGTCGCTCTACTTTACTCTCGTCCTCGTCATCCTCTTCGCCTCTCTCCTGGGCACGCCCCTCGTCTGGTACCTCACCCGCCGCTTCGGCAAGCGCGAGGTGCTGATGTACGTCTCCGGCGCCTGCTGCCCCTTCTTCTTCGCCTTCTTCTTCGTGCCCCCCCAGTCCTTCCCCACCGCCGTCATCTACGTCGCCGGCGTCTTCGTCGGCCTGCTGACTGTGGTCATGTTCGTCGTCCTCGACTCGATGCTCGCGGACATCATCGACTACGACGCGCTGCACACCGGCAAGCGCTCCGAGGGCGTCTACACGGTCGCCGAGACCAACCTGCAGCAGTTCATCGAGGTGCTAACCCTAACCCTAACCCTATCCCTATCCCTAACCCTAACCCGAACCCGAACCCAGACCCGAACCCAAACCCGAACCCGAACCAACCTTCAGCAGTTCATCGAGGTGCTAACCCTAACCCTATCCCTAACCCGAACCCGAACCCGAACCCAGACCCGAACCCAGACCCGAACCCGAACCCTAACCCTAACCAACCTGCAGCAGTCATCGAGGTGAGCGGCGGGGTCGTGCCTTGTCCGCTCCTCCTCCTAAGGAGGGTGAGTCAGTCAAGCACGCCGTGACTCTGAAGGTGATCGGCGGCGTCGTGCCGCTGCTCCTCATGAGCGCCGTCGGCTTCGAGAACAACGGAGGCTGCGAGTGCGGCTGCGGCGTGGCGTGCGACGAGGCCTACATGCGCTGGAAGTGCCCTGGCGACATCGGCTACTCCTGCGACGGGCAGAGCACGTTCGACTCTCCGCCGCTCTTCGGCGAGGTCGGCCGCCAGGCGCCGTGTGTCGACCAAGGCAGCGACGCGGTGGCGTGGAGTCACCCACTTCACAGCGACAGCGGCGAGTCCCACCCCTCTGCGAGCAGGCAGCGACGCGGTGGTGTGGATCATCCGCGCCTTCCTCTTCGCGCTCTCGGGCGTCTGCCTGCTGCTGGTGTGCCTGGGCGCGAAGATCTACCCGATCACCAAGGCGGCGCACTCGGCGATCCTCGATGCCACCGAGAGCCTGGCGGCCGGCGGGGAGGCCACAGACCCGCTGACTGGAAAGGCTGTGGTGCGGTCGGCGGCGTCGCACGCGCAGCTGAGGCGCGAGGCGCACCCCCCAAGCCGTCGCGACATGGGGTCGGCCTCGCGGCGACCTCTCGGCGGCACCCTGAGAGCAATCTCTGCGACACAGGCGCGAGCACTTCTCTGCGCGCGAGCTCTCGCTCAGCAGCCACTGGCTGAAGGCGCAGCTGTCGGGGCGGCTGCTGCTCTGGCCCACACGGCGCTGCTGTGAACAGCGCGTCTTCACAGCACGCGCGTTGTGGCCAGGCGGCTGCTGCTCTGGCTCGGCGCCTTCATCGCCATCCTGGCAGGCATGGCGGCGTCGGGCGGCGAGGCGCGCCAGTACATCGTCGCCATCGGCGCCATCTGCCTGCTGCGCCCTCTCTGCACCCTCTGCGGCGCGCAGCGTCTCTTGACACGTCGGCTTGTGTAGCAGGCGCCATCTGCTGCTCGGCTCTCTTTGTGCTTGTGCCGTGGGACGCCGCTCGCTTGCAAGTGCTGCTCAAGATGAGCCGCGCCGAGCGGGCGGTCGGGCCGAGCGCGGAGGAGAAGGACAACTCGGCGCGCAGCTAGGGTGCGAGTCGCCAGTGTACGCGCCGGGTGGCCGGGGTCCGTTCTCACGGCCGCGCAGTGCGGTTTAGTCTCGGGACCGACCCGCGGACCTTATGTACGTTGGGGGGTAGCGCCCAATGCTGGAGCATGGCGGTTCGGCTGCCTTGCTCTCTTCTGTACGTTCTGCTGCGGTCTCTTACCGAACGTGTCTCGGGCGCCACGTCTCTTTGGTGTAGAGGTTTTGTGCCAGAGTCAGGCATGGCTCTTGGCTGAGGAGCTCTCTGTCGGTCTGTGGACTGCAGCAATACCGTACATTGCCGGACAGTCGCAGTCCGAAGCACGAAAGGAGTAAGGACAACGCGCGCCGAGCTCCAGAGCCGAACGCTCTGACCCTGCACACGCCAGCGGTGGGCATCTAGTATCGAGTTAGCGCGTCGTTACTGGGCTGGGTTTTTAGGCATTGACCATTGTGGGGTTGGCACTCCCATCGACCCTCATGACCTCCAGCGGTCTCTGAGATGGACACCAGTGGGTGTGGGACCACAGCCAGGATACACTCGAAGGCTGGGTAAGCAGTAGAGGTCGATACTCGACGCGTCCCACATGGTCTGTGTCGCTGTCGGCACGCTGTCGACAGGACGTCGAGCGACACCGGTGGCAGTGCCACCCAGGAGTGCTCGGGCGGTCTCCCGTCATGAGAGAGCCACCATGTGATCCGTATGATGGTTCCTGACAACCGCCTCAGTCACTTTTCGTCACAGTTCCCGCTCTGAGAGGAGCTGCGGGTCAGTTCGACAGCTGGAGCTGTGTCGCCGGCGTGCGGCGGCCTGCCTCCGGAGGTGCCTCTGAGGTGGACATTTGTTGGTCACCGTGAGAGAACGCGTTCGAATTTTCACTCCGGAACTTCAACTCCACACGCGCACCGGCCAGGGCTACAATAGTGCCAGTGAGGCGGAGGCGCGAGTCGGAAGGCCGCGACCGTGATTTGGTTTCGACATTTTCCTACAATCGCTGTGAACCCAGCCACGTACGTGCGCGCGCGGGGGCGGTGGGTGTGCGGGATGTCTGTGGGCCTGAAAGCGATGTGCCATGTGTGCGTCCGCCTTGCGTTTGTTTCATAACATCGTAGGCTAGCTCAATCAAGAAGGAGAAAAACTCAGGGGACCCGGTGTAACGATCACAAACAATTGGCGATGAACGACGGCGGCCTCGCCGTCGTGCGGATGAAGCCGCTTGGAGCTGGCGGTGGCGGTGGCGAGCGCAGTTCTGCGTCCGGCGCGCCAAGTGGTGTCACCTTCTCGGCGCCAAAAGCTGAGGTCACTGTTGATGGACGACTTTTCAGCTATCCGTCTCACGTGATTGCTCCGGAGATGGACCAGCAGGCGTTGTACGATGCATTCATGCCAGTGAACATGCAAGCCTTTGTGGATGGAGTTAACGTAAATGTGATCGCCTACGGTCAGACTGGCTCTGGCAAGACGCACACGGTATTTGGACCACCAGGGATCCTAGCACGCGCTGCGGCTGGCGAGCTGGGAGACGGGGTCGATCAGGACTACGGCCTCTTCCCACGAGGCGTACTCGGGGCTGTCGACACGGTGGGAAAGCTCCGCCAGGAGGGCATTGCTGCAGTGTTGACGGCAAGCGCGGTCGAGCTCTCGATCATGGGCAATGAGGATATGCTCGCGCGGTCGGAGACCGCCGTGCGGCGCGCTGCGAATGATGGCGCAGGCACGAGTCAATGGAGCTCTGCAGCGCTCGGTGTTGCGCTCGACAAGGCCTCAGATCCGCCACGACTCTGCGGCATGACAGAGCTGCCACTTGACAGTCCCGCTGATGTCCGGCTGCTCTGCGGTGCTCTGGCGACGCGTAACACGGCGGGCACGCTGATGAACAACACGTCCTCGCGCTCACACTGCTTCGCATTCCTCACGCTGCGCGTGCTCAAGGACGAAGCTGGTGTTGCGCGCGTGCGCACGTCGCGCTTCCAGTTTGTTGACCTTGCCGGGTCGGAGCGGCTCAAGGACGCCCACGGCGCCAGCGTATCGTGGAAGGAGGGCGGCGAGGCGCTCAACGGGATGCTCACCAACTACTCACTCACCATGCTATCTGCGTGCGTACGCGGGCTGGTCGAGGCAAAGCGTAAGCGGGCCAAGTTCTCGTTCCGTGCGTTCCTGAGTGACCTCGTGGACCTGCTGCAGGAGTCGATGACGGGCGACGCGGCGACGGCGTGCTTTGTCTGCCTTAGCCAGGCGCCGACCAACCTCGTGCACAGCAAGTTTGCCCTCGACTTTGGTGAAGTGTTTGCGCAGCTCTCAGCACCGAGGCCGCGCGCGACCAAGCCGGTGCCACTTGCCCTCCTGGCGAAGCAGACCAACGCGACGCTGGGCGAGGCGCGGAGAGCGCTGCAAGGATCAAAGAGCGGCGGCAGGTGCCGGCCGGTGCGCGAGGCACAGGTGCGAGACTGTGAGCAGCGGCTGCGCTTGCTGAACAGGCTTGGCTCTCGTCTGAGCAGAGATGGCGGCTAAAGGCTGACCCGGACTGGGGGGCAAGAGATTTTCAGCGAAAAGAAATTTACGGAGAAAAAGAAATGCCGCGCCCGATGCTTGCTGGGGGGACCTAATAAATAAATAAATAAATACAACGGACATCCCAAGCTAGGGCTGGGTCGAGGACAGACACGTCCCCACCTTTGCAGGATTTTGCAAAAGCGAGGGGGGAGGGCGCATCGCCGCGCGGAGAGGGCTGGGCACAGGGCACAGGGGATCTCTCTCGCATAGGATAAGCACTCGGCGGCACGAGGGCAAGGCTGGGCGTCCTATGTTTGTGCTCCCCCCCGGACCCCTCGCTCTCGGGCACTAACCATCTGACCACTCATCGACGGGGCTTGGCGAGCGGCCGCGCTGCGGGGCAGGGCTGGTGAGAATGGGCTCTGGCCACTCGCCCGTGCGGTTGTAACCCCGCATCTGTCGGACAGAGGCCTCGACCGCCCCTCGCGGCAAGCTCTCGAGCATCTCGAGCAGCTCGCCCGCCGCCATCGCCGCCTCGAACTGCTCCCTCATGCCGAGCGCGCCGCATACCCTGCGGACCGCCTCCTGCTGCACCTCGTCCGGCGTATCGGTTTCATAGCCGGACGAGTCAGCGGAGGCGGCCCGCTTGGCGGGCGGAGAGTCGGGCGACGGCGAGCGCGACTGGCGCGAGGGCCCGCTGCCGCGCGCGGACAGCGCGTTCTTGTCAACGAGACGGGGTCCAGCATCGGCACGGCCCCTGGCACCGCGGCCCTTGCCGCGCTGCTGCTGCCCACGCTTCCTGCCCGGGTTAGGGACAGTGAAGGAGCAGCCGCGCACTCCGCCGCCGCTGGGCGGCGGCGGCACGCGCGCGGCGGCGGCCGGGCCCGCAGGCGCGGCGGGCTGGCCACCCGCGGTGGCACCCTGCGGCTGCGATGCGGCTGCGGCGGCGTACGTCTTGGGCGCCGGCTCCGCGGCTGGCGGCGCGGCGGCCGGGGCGGGCGGCGCCGCAGGGCTCGCGCTCGCAGGCGGCTCCGTGGCCTGCGCCTGCCGCTCGTGGCGCACGGCGCGCTCGAGCTGCGAGTGCGGGTGCAGCTGTACGATGACGTCGCCGCTCTGCGTCGCGGTGAAGGAGACCGAGTACGGCGCTTCGCCGTCGTTCTTCTTCTCCGCGTAGACGAGCGCGTAGTCGCACACCTGTCGTTGGTGGTCAGTGAAGATGGTCTCTGTGCAGCGCTCGGCGGAGCCGACGCGAGAGAAGTGCCGCCTGAACGCCATGCGTTCAGGCGCTGTTTGAAGGACTATCAACACAACATGGCCGCAATATTATTTCCCGTGCGACATATGGTTGTCGCCGCATTAAAAGACAAGGTGACTTAAATGCGATGGACACCAGACGCTAGCGGCTCACCCGCTAGCCTAGATACGCACGCGCCACCCACGCAAAATACTCTGTGCCAAATCGCGCATACGCGGTGTGGTGCAGACGCCAGTCACTCTTCTCGCCCGGGGGTCCGTCCGTCGCACGCGTTGCGAGTCAAGTGCGGCAACCATGCCGCGAAGAGTGCTCCCATTCCCAAGGGAGCCTGCACTATGATCTCGTGTCCGTGTACTACCACTACTAGCTGCAGCTGTGCGCCGGAGGCAGCCACGCCTAAGTTCTGCCAAAAGGTGGCACACGCCGGACCGTTTCGGTCGTCGTGTCCGGCCTTGGTGGGCATCAGCCCACACGACCCCTTTGGATAGAGGTGGGTCGAGGCGCCCTCGAAGGGGCACCCGTGGGCCGAGCCCCTCAGAGCCTGTTCCGCCTCGCGCAGCTCCTCCTGCACGAGGAGCAGCGCCGCCACTCCCGGCACCGCCGAGAAGAAGGCGGCGCTGATGTCCGCCGCCGCGGACCTAAGCGTGTGCTCGAGGTTCGTCGCGCCCAGCCAGCCGCGATCGTGTATTGGGGGGAACGAACAAAAAAGTGTGCATCGCGATCCAAATCACGTGCGACGCGCACGCGGTGTAAGCGTGTTCGGTTCAGCAGCAGAGCTCTGCTGCTGGGGGGGGTCCCGACCCCCCCAGCAGCAGAGCTCTGCTGCTGGGGGGGGGGGTCGGCCATGGCTTTAGATGTGCAGGGGGGGTACCGAGCAGTGACCTTACCGACACCTTATAAGTGTGCGGCCGCTCTCTAGACACTAGAGCGACGGTGCTCGGTGGCATATAATAAATGGTCAGATACCAATGGTGAACGATACCATACACCATCGCAACATATACGCGCTCACGCGCTGAGGTGCTCCACACCGAGACACGCCCCCGCGCACACACACGTATATACAGTGGCACCCACCCGACCTGCGACCGACACGAAGCTAACTAAGGCTTTTACACAAGAGAGTCCCGCAGGAGAGCGGTTCGCCTCTACCTTCGCTCGTGCCGGATGTTGCTGAGGACGCCGAGGCCGCACGTGAAGAAGACGGCGAAGATGGCCACGAGCATGCCGATGCACGCCCACTTGTCGCCCAGCACCGGGCCGCGCAGGCCGTAAAAGTCGAGCACGGTGATGGCCGTGCCGTTTGCGTCGAGGAAGAGCTTGGCCTCGCCGTTCGGGTGGCCCTGGAACTGGTTGTTCATCATCGCCGCCCAGCCGTACCGGATGAAGGACGTCCAGCCGTACCACGCCCACTGCGACGGGATCTCGTCCGTGAGCATGATGAGCCCCGCCACGAACATGACCGTGGTGACGTAAGTCGGCAGCATCGCGGAGGCCGCCTCGAGCGTCGGCGCGAGCGAGGCGATGGCATAGGCGAGTGCGATCGAGATCATTGTCACCAGGTAGTAGGAGAGCATCAGGATGAAGAAGCTGCCCTGGAACTGCACGCCCCAGAAGATGACGACGGTGAAGAGGAGCGACGTGAAGACGCACAGGAAGCCCTCCTGCGGCACCAGAGCGAGAGGGCGCCGCCGGTCGGCGACTTGGCGAGGGGAGGGTCCTCGGGGCAAAGGGTGACGTGAGGGGTTGGCAGCGCGGGCCAGGCGAGGGCTAGGCCGGTGGCCAAGGATCAGACCAGCGAGGATCAGGCGGGGGCGCTCCTGGATGATCTTGTACGTGAAGTAGGCGAAGGGGCCGTAGCAGCCGTCGTTTGTCTCGCGGTAGAAGAGCGGCCGGTCGAGGACGAGCGAGGGCACCACCGAGGCGGCGCCGTAGCCGCAGAGCGCCGTCACCATGAAGAGTGTGCCAGTGACGCCCGCGACCTGAGGGACCCGCCACGCGCGGCGTCAGCGACGGGACTGCGTGGAGAGAGGCCTAGCCGCCATCTCGCCGAAGTGGAGCCGCCTTTGCAGGCGCTCTCTCGAACCCCCGAGAGGGCCCGAGACGGCTAGAGATTGCTCGAGACTTCGCACCTTTGCGGGCGCCATCTCGCCGCCCTCGCCCAGGTAGAGCGTGAGCACGATGAGCGAGAAGACGAGCTTGTCGCCGATGCGCGGCCCCAAGTAGACGGGGTCGCGGTAGTCGGTCAGCGCGCGGTACTTAAGCAGGATGAGGATCGCCTGGAGAGTGAGCCGCGGACGCGTCACCGATGGGCGCCCATTCCTCTTCCCGCTGCCCGCTCGAGGGGAGGCGGCACCCTCAGCGGCGACGCACGCCGCAAGTGCGCCGGCACCGCCACCGGCGGCTTGGTGCCGTCGCCGTGCGCCAGCGCCAGCTCCGCCTCGAGACTGGTCCAGGCGTCGCTCTCCCGAAAGGTTGCGGCGAGAGTGGCGGTGGCGAGGGCGTCGCCGGCCGCCGAGCCGCGCGCCCGCTTCGCGGCGAGCGCGCGCGCCTTGTGGGAGGAGGCGCGAGATGAGCCGAGCTGAGCCGATGTGAGCCGAGCTGAGCCGAGCTGAGCCGGGCTGAGCCCGAGCTGAGCCGATGTGAGCTTGAGGTGAGCCCAAGGTTTCCCGAGGTCGCGCCTTGTGCGAGAGGAGCTTGTCATCGACGACTGCGTGCGGGCTCATCGCGTCCACCAGCCACCTACCTCGGGTGATCTCGGGGGGTCTCGGTGGCCTCGGGTGGTCTCGGGTGAGCTCGCATCCTAGAGCTGCTGTCCGGGAGCCGGGTGGGCCCAGCGCATCTCTGGGAGGGGCGAGCTCACTCCGGCATCGACTCGCCCATCTCGAGCGGCCGCAGCCCGACCCGCTTCGAAAAGTAGTCGGCGGCGGCGTCGCCGCACTCTCCGGCGTAGACGAGCTGCCCGTCGCGCAGCATGAGAAGGTCGTCGAAGAGCGAGAAGGCGCTCGCAGTCGGCGAGTGGATGGTCGCGACGACGGTACGGCCCTGCGCGGCGAGGAGGGACATGACTGCGCACACCTCGTCCGCCATCGCCGAGTCGAGGCCGGTCGTTGGCTCATCGAGGAAGAGGACGGGCGGCCGCGTGATGAGCGAGAGGCCGATGTTGACACGCCTGCGACGGCCGTGCCGCGGACGTGTCGTGGGGCGCTGTGCCGCGCCACTGAGGCGGGAGGGCGGACGACGGCGCACTTCTTCTGCCCGCCCGAGATGCCCTTGACGAGCTCGCCGCCAATGACCGTCTTGCGGCAGCCCTCGAGACGCAGCTGCGCGATTACCTCCTCCACCCGCTCGCGCTTCTGCGCCCGCGTCAGCGCGGGCAGCTTGAGCTCGGCGGTGTACATGAGCATCTGCTCGACGCTGAGCACCTGACCGCACAACCGACTGTGTGACGAGGCGCAATATGGCCATAGTACAGCCCTTGAGGAGGAGGAATAGGCTGGCTGGCAGTGCTGTATGCCGCTGTCGCGAGTTGATATCGATGGCGCTTTGCGCGCCTCAACGAGATTGTCAAACTGTTCGACATAGCCACAGAGGTGCTTGATGTTCTTCTTCAAGCACGTGGCGCCGTTGAAGCGGACCTCGCCCACGATCGTGCCCGTCGTCTTCCGCCCGGCGAGCACGTCCATCAGGGATGTCTTCCCGCACCCGCTGCTCCCAAAGAGGGCGGTCAGCCGGCCGGCACGAAAGTGGCCGGTGAGACCCTGCAGGATTACCTTGGTGCCCTCCTTCTTAGTGCGCACCGAATACTGCGAGGCGACGCATGGGAGGGGCCTCACGCGCAGGGAGCGCGCGAGGGCGCAGTGCAAGTAGCGAGCGCGGCGCCTTCAGATCCTTGAACGTGATTGGTACGCGCGTCTCACTCTGGCCGGCTTGGAAGGAGCCGCGCGTGCGGATGCCTCCAATCTCGACGTCCGTGGAGGGTGTCTCCTGGACGTTCATGCTCAAGAGATGTACCGGAGGTGGGCTCGAGCGGAAACTTCTTCGAAAGTGCCGGCAGTGTTTTTTCAATGTATGTGGCTCTTACCTAAAGTTTTTGACCGCGCAAGACATAAAAGGGTGGCTAAGGGCTCTGCTCGCAAGGCGCCCGCGTCGCAGACGCGGTACCATTGACAAATCTGCAATATACCCCCACACGAGCAAATAGCAAAATCCGAATACCGTGCACGAACTGCGTGATCTGCGCCGTGGACGGGGGCCGCAAGCCTGGTGCGAAGACGTTTTACGGGAGCACTGCAGTAGCCAACCAGCCGGGGGCTATTGCAACATATATGGAGAGCTTCCTGCGTGACCTCGGGGAGGCGCGCGACGCCTGCAACAAGCTTCCTTTTGACGATGCGCTGCGCTACAAGATAGCTACCGAATTGGATCGCATCGAGGCTGCTCCGCCTCTCGAGCGCATGTTGGTGACGAAGCCGCTGATCAAGGATTGGGCGAAGCTGGTCAGTCGGCAGAAGGATCCGTCCATCAAGACGCGTCGTCAGGCTGCGCTCACCGCCATGCTGCGCGTCGTCGACCGCCTCCCCGCTCGGGGGCCAAGCCAAGGTGCTGCGTACTCGAGTAGCCTTACTGTAGGAACCTTTCATGCTCCAAGGTGACGCAGCCAGCCCCATCCGCCCCCCTTGCACAGACTCTTCCCGCTTGACTGAAACCAGAGGGGTGAGGAACCACCCCGACCCAGTTAATGGCGCGTCGGGGCCAGCGCCTTCAAATGCGCCCCAACCCTCCACTGCTGCCGCCTCATCCTGCGCTGCCACCGGTGCGCGCCGGCTCGAGGCTTTCCGGGCACACGAGGACACAAGGCGGCAACGTCTGCCCACTGTCCGCGCAGGTGTGCGGCGCTCGTCGAGATTGACGGCAGGGCGTTGGGCTCGGCGGCGATGTTGGAGGGTGCGCGTGCGGGTGAGGCGTCCGCGGGTGAGGCGTCCGCGGGTGAGGCGTCCGGCCGCTAGTGTGCGCACCCTCGAGCCGTCACGACCCCGACCGTCAGCTTCTCTGCGTGAACATGTATGGCTAGCGTGCTTCCACTGCGCGCCCGCGCCTGCGGCGCCGCCGCGGCTCCCCACCCTTTTGCGCAGCAACACCTTAAACTTTTCAGGCCCTCCAAATTCGGGTCGGAGCGTAGCGGAGTGGGCCCCGAGTTTGAAAAGGGCGACGGACGCTTGCGTCCTAGCCTCCAACAACGCCTCCCCGGCGCAGAGGGGCCCCCGGAGGGATGCACAACCGACTCACGCCACGCCGCTTGCGGCGGTCCTCTTCCCAGCTCCGCTGAGGGCCCGTGCGTTATTTGTTTGATCACCTCTTCCAATTAAAAAATCATCAGACCGACAACAGACCGTGTCAGACCGACGAAAAATGCGATGCAAAGGAGGAGCCGTCGCCAGCTAGGTCATGCTAACCAAGTTATGCTCGTAGCCACACTCGCTCCAACCTCCGGCTGCGGCCTCCAGACCGCCGGCCACCACCGTCCGGGCGAGGTTAGGGACTACACGCTCCGTACCACCGTGTCTTTCCTCGGCGAAGCCGTCGAGTACCGACTCTCGCTTCCGAACAGCTATGACCCGAGCACGCCCGGACCGCTTCTCATGCACCACCACGGCTGGGGCGAGTCGCGATCGTCGCCCTCTGGCAGCGAGTTTCACCAGCACGGAAAGGTCTCGGGCTATGCGGTCGTCTCCATCTCGGGATACAGAGACGGCAAATGGTGGAACCGCAGGTCGTGGAACGGCGCCGGCTCGACGCAGTCGCCCCGTTCCGCACTCGGAGCCACTTGTTTGCCCCAAACCCAGGACTTCTGCTACTCGGACTCATGCGGCGCGTGCGCCGACAACTGCTGGTGGACGACGTGCCAGGACTCGGTGGCACAGACGCTGGCAGTGCTCGCCGAGGTGGTGGGGGGGCATTGTATCGACGAGGACAGGGTCTTCAGCACAGGCCCGTCCCGCTCTTGGCCGTGTGGGGACACTCCGACACCACCATGCCGCCCTGCTACAACGGGCCGGGGTCCCAAGGCGTTGTCGACGCGCACACGGGCAACGCCGATACCGCCCTGGACACCGCTTACACGGGTCACTTTTACTCGACGGCGCGCAACGCCACCTCTGCTTGGGCCGCCGCGGCGGGCTGCACGGCGGCGCCAAGCTACGACCCCTGCAATGGCGTCCTGCGCAACGCCAGCGAGGGCCACAGCTTCTACCCGGTCGCGTCGGACACCATTCACTGTGTCCAATG